AAAAACAGGGTTCAGACGTGCACCTTTTGACACAGGGCAACACAACATGTTTGACACTTACAATGATTGCAGAGGTTTTTATGGAAACATATTCCAACTTATATGTGAAATTTGAAATAAGATGACAAGTTTAGAGTCAGATGCATGAATCATTCATAAACTATCAGAATTTAAAGTAAGATTTTCATTGTTCCAATTCAACAATACATCACAATATAGTCCATTGCTGGATGTGTGTGTTTTTTGATTTTAGTGGGTATTGATGCATCAACTGTCTTGACATGATTCTCTAGTTATATATATATATATATATATATATATATATATAATATCACCCTCTCTTTACACACACACACACACACACACACACACACACACACACTTCCTACTCCCATGCTACTTTCTCACCTCTTTGGTGACATTGTCTTGGACCAGACTGTAGAGGGGCACCACCCGGCTGACCTCCAGCAGCACAGGGATGGGGGAGGGCTGCTCCCCACTCCTGTTGTTCCCACCACGGCCCCTCCCCGACACTCCTCCCATCATGGCCTGGTGATGGCACAGGTGGCAGCCACTTGGACAGCTTCCCTTCTCCTCACAGCGGATCTCCACGCCACTCACCATGTCGTCAGACAACAGCTGGCTCTTCTGCAGCGCAGACAGGTAGCTGATGAATGGTACCGACTTCAGCTCTCGACGCCCACCTCCTCCAACGCCTTGGTCTGTTGCCTCTGGGGAGGGGGGGGGGGGTAGGACGGAGAGGATGGAAGGATATGTGGGTACAGGTAGGAAGGGATGCAGATAGAGATAAATGAAGTCAACAACAAAAATAAATCACAGTCATTTCAGGGAGAAGAAGAAGAAGGAAGCATGTAGTCTCACGACAGCTATTTCTTTCACTTAAATACATTAAAACAATTTATGAGTGTTCATTTGGCCCAGCAAAGAACAGTTACAGCCCCTCGGTTGTATAGAGCTTCTGCATCTGGATTTATTTTACTTGCTGCCAAGGAAAAGAAGAAAAAACAACAACTAATCCCTTACTGTCAACAGCTTTCATGGACAAAGGATGTATGGGAGGGGGTGGGTGGGTAAAGAGGGAGGGTCATTGGCTTCTTCTCCTGAGTGTCAATTATCACTGTTTGATGTCCTTACTGGAGTTTTTTCGAGGGAGATTATTTCTTTTCTTTCTCATCGTTTCCTCTTACTGTGAGAAAACCACAAAGAAGAGGCAGGGACAGAAGCGGGGGGGGTTCTTCACTCATGAGTGATTGACTCAGATGACACGAGGCCTTGTGTTAAAATGTGGAAGTTCTGCCATGTGCGCTTATGTGGCAAATATGTTTTTGTATCGATTTTCTTTGCAAGAATATATCGGGTTCATATATGTGAAAGATGAGACATTCTTTCTAGTGACAAAAGTTTTTCAAAGTTGCAATTAAAGACTAATGATGCAGTGTTGAGACATTATGCATCATTAGGTTAAATCACAATTTAAATGTATACATCAAACACTTAACTTACTATGGCTTATGCTTTAATCTAAGTTCTCAGTAATGAGAAGTATATACCCTCTGTAGGTTAATGAACCATGTTTGTTCTAATGGAAAAAAATAAAAAAAATAAAAGTTTAAGTTATGATCACACCCCCATGCACATACATACACACGTGGATGGATGAATAAGATTAACAAAGGCATACATTAATACCTACACAGAGTTTGGTCACTTTCTCACTCTCTCCATCTCTTTCACACACAAGCACACATGCACGCACACAAACACACACACAGAGCACATGTATAGAATAACAAGGGAATCCCAGAAGGAGGCCACTGACATTTTTAAGGTGGGTTAATTGGGACTGATTAAGATTGATGTTTTAAATGACTTATTTCCTGTTAAACGTTTTAATGACAGTGAAATAAAACATCCTTCATTCTCTGTGGTGAGACAGACAACACCATAGTGCATGAGCTATAAAATGCTGCGTGTTTGTGTGAGCGACAGACACAAAAACAAGATGGTCTAAATGTGCAGTTTCCCTCTGAGTCAACAACATCAACAATGTTAAATAAGTTAAACCCGGGACAGGAAAAACATTCTGTAAACTCTCAGTCTTTCATTGTTCTAGCACACGCACATGCAAACACACGAGGTTTCCCGGCAAACATTTAACAGATCTTGAAAAAGAATAAATAAAAAAAATAAAAAAATCTCTATCTCTACCCAATATTTGCAGGGGGAAATCATTTCATCTTACAAATGTTTGTAAATTTAAAGCATATTTTAAATTTCTAAATGGATCTTGGACTCAGTCTACAATGATTAAAACATGTGGTGAATGAAAACAATGGAAAAAGTTAAATTAAAACTGCTTTTAACTTAGGAGAACTGAGGTTTTTCTTTTCATTCTTTTGAGCAATATGTGACCCACGATAAAAAAATACAAAATGCACAAAAAATAGGTGCATTTATTTTACAGTGGATGGTATTCAATAACTACACTATTATCAAATTTAACCTGCACCTCAGGTCACTGGAACTAGCAAATTCCTAGAAAAAAAACAAAACAGCAATGACCCTTGACCCAATCTCCTCAATATCCTCAACCTCAACTCTGTTGTTTGTGGGAACTGAGTCTGTACATACATACACATATGTTTATATGTGTATATATATATATATATATATACATGTTGTTGTGGCTGTGTTTGTCCCTGTGTGCATCTATAAGACACCAGTAAGCGGTTGAAGAGGTGGGTGGTAACTTAATGCGCAACAGTATGTAAACAGGCTCAAGGGGTGGCCAGAGCACAATTACACACACTTCTTGAGGCAACACAGACACAGAAAAGAGCTGTCGTCACCTGGCTCCCACAATAAAGCCCTGTAGGTCAAGTTGGCTGTGGCGAGCCGGTCTTATTCAATCTTTAATTCATTAACCCTTGATTACAGTTGTTAACATCTATGGCAACAATTGCATTTCATGAGAGTTTTTCACTCTAATACAGGAGGAGAACAGAAATTCAGTCAGTGTAATATGTCTGTCGGGGTATTTCCTCCTTCAGTCTTGATTTTTGGATTTTTACAACTTCAGTGTTTTTGAGACTGGTATGTTAAACTGACTCTGGCGTGTAATTTCCGTCTGGAATCACTGACATACTTTTGTGTTTTTGTTTATTGGTGCATGAGCAATGCACAGTTTCACTCAGATCTGACCGGCAGTGACACCCTGCATGAGGAGAAATTAAACCACATGTATTTTTGGTCAGTGAAAGGAGTGGTCGGTCACTTTGCCTCTTTATAAACTATGACGGCTCTTTGCTGTGTGGAATGAATGTGATGTTTATGCTAACACTTGCCTGTCAAGCACACACAGGCAAGAGATGAATGGAGTGAATTTCCTTGCCATTGATCTTGCGCTGCCTTTGTTAATTAAAACGTCTTTGTGGACTGGTTGCAGTATAATTACTCATCAGGGACACGTCCGCCTCTAGCCGGGGCTATGTTGCCCCGGCAACAACAACAAAGGTGTCAGATATCTTCCGTAGCGATTTTATACAGATGTAGTTAGATATGGTTGCTGTTGTTGCTTGTTTTAGTTAAACAGCAGCAAGTGCTACATATAGATTCTCATTTTAAAAGACCCTTGTTATATCTAGATCATGCTCGTTATTAATGCTACTATATTTAACACAGGCTAATACTGATATAGTATGAGGGTCTTATGAAATTAAAATGTGTGGCCTATCTGAGTGTAAGAGCTAAAATTACAACTAAATCTAATCACATCTGAGTTGTGGGAAATACTATGAACATTACCTAGCAACAGTCACTCAACAGGATCAAATATAATTGCAAAACTATGATAAAAGACTAATACAATATTAATCTAAATGCATATTAATACATAGACACATGTTTTGTACACATATAAGTTGTTTCTTGAGCCCCCTCTGTGGAAAGACGTTGCAGGAACACCTTCTAGAACACTCCTATCCTGACATCTAGTGGCCCATCTCTGAACTTACAGGCTTGTGTTTTTTTTCTCAACATCTGGATGTTTTCAAATGCAGTTTTAGGATAAAGCAGGTATTTCAGGTTCTCTCTGTGAGAGTACTCTTTTGAGTTGCATGTGAATTGAATTGCCATTTAAAAAGTAAAGCATAGTGTATTCTTTACAGGATAGAAAGAAAATATAACAAGTCAAAGAAGTTCAACATCTGTAAACCCCTGTAAACAGAATCAGAACTGTGTCTGCATTGTCCAGTGTCTTAAAACAGAAATGCTTTCTCAAGATCTGGATGTTTCAAGTGCAGTTGCAGTTCCAGGTTTGTTTACCTGCTCTCTCAAGCTAAAAAATATTGTTTGACTTTGTTGCAGCTGATCATGGACTGTGATTACTAGTCCGCCTGACATACATTACACCTACTCACATACATACTGCTCACATACTCCACCATCAGACACTTGTGTAGAATTACTTGACACACTTTTCCATTATGTTACAAACTGTTCCTTCTTGTAAATTCGAATATTTGTTGATGGTGTCAGTTACACACAGCATCTATTGCACTTCTCTACATTTTGTTTTCTCTCTATTAACAGAGTTCTCTTTGGTAGTTTTACTCTTGTCGAGGGTTAAAAACAGAGGATGTTGCACCTTGTTGAGCCCTAAGAGACTTTTTATTTGAGGCTACTCAAATAAAAAATTGATTGATTGATTAAATTTACAGGATATTTAATTAGTATAGAATAAATTATAGATTTAATATGAGAAATATATTAAAATAATAAATGAATGGCCACGAAAGCAATAATAATAATAATAATTAAATAAATAATAATTAAGTAAATAATAATGTGCTGCTCATGTTTCCAGTCAAACCCTGTGAACTGGACCACGTGCGCGTTCACGAGCCTGCACGTCGGCCAATCAGAGCAGCCGGTGCTGGATCCCGGTCTGTGCGTGATTACGTCACTTGCGTAACGCGGAGCGGACTGCAGCAGCAGCAGCTGCACTGACACAACACGCCCACGACCACAGCCTGCGTCCCGCAGAAACTCTGAGGAAGAGAAGGTAACGTCTGGAACCGAGCGAAGCACAGTGACAAGTTGTGTGTTTTATTTCTCTGATGCACGTCCACGGACTGGCAGCACCGCCATGTTGTCGATATCACACGTGGCGTTGTGTTAAAGCTTGAAGGACAGCGTCACGTTACCTGCGGACAGGCCTCCGCTCCACCAAACTAAGTGTCATCACAGTTTGGTTTCGCAGGTGGACGTCGTCATGTGTCGGGCTACGTGCGAGCTCTGTGGTTGTAGCTAGTTAGCTTTGTTAGCTTGTTCATCATGTCGCTCGTCAGTGGGACGGTCGTGTTGTTCCGCACAGTAACAACACAATGTTCCACAAAACAACAACGACTCGTCAGTCAGCTTCCTCTGCACTGTCGTTATAGATATGGGAGCTTTTTGTCTTTTTTGTCTTTGGTATAGCCAGCGAGTGTTAGCTTAGCTTAGTGCATGCTCTGTTGACAGTTGTAGTTGTTGTCAATAAGTCATTTGCATCCACAGCTAGCTACTTTCTAACACAGAAGGGCTAGCTTGCAATGCTAGTCTCTGCTGGACATGTTCTTATTAACTGTGCCCAGAAAATGATGAGAGCTGGGGTGGAAGTGACTAAAATGAATTGATCAAAATGGAGGTGATTAAAGTGAAACGAAAAGTTGATGAACCAGTGTTGATGATAACAGAACCAGGTTTTCATTAGGTTCAACAACTTCCCCTCACAACACAAACTTGTCATTTATTATTTCATGAATGTAGCCACAAGGATGGAAGTAAAATACAATTTTAGTAAATTTATAGTGGGGGTGATGAAAAAGCGTGCTGCCACTTTATTTTAAACTGTATTGCTCTGATGATAAACTGGGCTGAGTTAACCTACATCATTCCTAACACCCAACTCACATTCATCATTTACAACATACACTTTTTGTAAATTCTGGCCAAACTCAATTAACAATCATATGCACAGACTTCCTCAGGTAATTTCAATATTTAATATTTTCTGTTGCTACAAAATTCTGCTGCATCCAGTTAAATTCAAAGATGTGCTGACTCTCACATTGTTATTTGCTACACTATATTTTGTTTATAGTAGAATTCCACACAAAATGCTGAATCATTTCACATTATAATTCTTTGTGTTGTGTTATCTCATTTAAGGACAGAACCATAATGGCATCGCCGTCTTCCCCACTGGACCCAGATCTAATAAGGGAGGTTCTGGAGTGTCCTATCTGCCTGGAGACCTACAACCATGAACAAATGAGGCCCAAACTCCTGCAGTGTGGTCACACAGTGTGCCGGCAGTGTCTGGAGAAGCTGTTGGCGAACACCATCAATGGTGTTCGCTGCCCCTTCTGTAGCAGGGTCTCCCGTATGAGCAGCATTTCCCAGCTGGCTGATAATCTCACTGTGCTGAAGATCCTTGATTGCACTTTATCCTGCAGTGCTGCAGCTGCTGCCCTCATGTGTAAGTCCTGCTGCAACCGTCTACCACGTCAGTACTGCCATGACTGTGCCACAGTCCTTTGTGAGCTCTGTAAAGGAGAGGGCCACCTGCATCAAGGCCATCTAGTCCAACCGATAAGGGTGGCTGCTGAACAGCGGCGTAAAGAACTGGGTGGCAAGTTGAATACTCTGCGAAATGTCATGGGAGAAATTCAGAAGAAAAAGACAGCTATTGAAAACATTTCCAAGTCTTTGAGACTTAAGTACCGCACAGTGCAGCAGGACTATACAACAGCTGAGCTACGTCTTCAAGAAGAACTGAGCAGGTCTCGACGGGCATTCACAACTTCAATGGCAGAAGTGGAGAAACTCAATGGGCAGGTCCTGGAGGAGCAGACGTATCTTCTTAACATTGCAGAAGTGAAGGTGGTGTCACGCTGTGATTATCTGACAATACGGGTGAGGCAGAGTGATATTACTCTGTTAAAGGACAATGGTGGGGGGAGTGATGATGAGGAGGAACTGGATCTGAGGAGCAGCTTGCCCACCATGTTTCAGCTGCAGGAGCCGGAGCTGGTCCGAGCCGAGCGCTCTAAGCCGATAGAAGTGGGTCAGATAACAACAAACACTTACACTGTCAATACAGACGATGAGGAGAGTGGGTTAGAGATTGCACTTGAAGGTGATATAGAGGGACTAGGTGGGGCAGCTGGGGCTACCAGTGGTGCGATGGAAGCTCCTTTGGATCTATACAGAGACATAGATATGGTTGCAGCTATAGAGGAGGCTGTATGCAGTTCACCAGGCAGCTTTAAGTCTAAGTCCATGGATGCAGGTGGAGGATCACCTGGAGGAGCCGGGGCAAGTGCAGGGCCCCCAGTCTGCCAGTTTGTGAAGAAGATGGGCTGCAAGGGAACTCTGCCTGGTATGTTCAATTTACCCGTCAGCATCTGCGTAACAGCACAAGGTGAGGTGCTGGTGGCAGATCGCGGCAACTACCGTGTCCAGATATTTAATCGCAAAGGTTTCCAGCGTGAAATCCGCCGCAATGCCAGTAGCATTGATAACTTTGTCCTGAGCTTCCTTGGTGCTGACTTGCCTAACCTCATCCCATTATCCATTGCGGTCACTCCTCAAGGTCTGATTGGGATCACTGACAACTACGATAACTCTGTTAAAGTCTACACTATGGAAGGACACTGCGTGGCTTGCCACAAGAACCAGCTGATTAAACCTTGGGGCATTGCTGCCATGCCATCAGGCCAGTTTGTGGTGTCAGATGTGGAAGGTGGCAAGCTGTGGTGCCTGGCAGTGGACCGCAATGTGGGTGTGGTCAGCTACAACCGATTATGCTCTGCCGTGCGGCCAAAGTTTGTGACATGTGATGCGGCTGGAAAAGTCTATTTCACGCAGGGTCTGGCACTGAACTTTGAAAAACGCCACAATGAGCCCCATCTGGAGGGTGGCTTCTCAATTGGGTCAGTGGGCTCTGACGGCCAGCTGGGCAAGCAGCTCAGCCATTTCTTCTCTGAGACAGAGGACTTCCGCTGCATCACTGGCATGTGTGTGGATGCCAATGGGGATTTGCTGGTAACAGACAGTGGCAGGAAAGAAATCCTCCAGTTTCCCAAAGAGGGTGGATTCAAAATTCTCATCCCAGACGGGCTGACCTGCCCTGTGGGAGTGGCCACCACCCAGAAAGGACAGCTGCTGGTGCTGGACTGTTGGGATCACTGTGTCAAAGTCTACTCATACATTCAGAGGAGGCACTCTTCCACTTCTTAAAGGAACAATCCAGTCTAACTGCCCCTGAGCATAATTGGTTTAGTATGTGTGTACAACATGTGGTGGAAAAGGTAGAAAAACACTATTATCTGTCTCTTTGGTTTGGCTGCAGTACAAACAATTTTTGCTCCAGCTTTTATTGGGTTATTACTGTAAATGAATGCTGCAGTCGGTTTCATTTGGTTTAAAGAAAACTGGTTTTAATTTAATACCTCAAATTGAAAATCAGCTACTTAAACTGCCCCTACCTAGTTATATGAATGGATTACAACACTAAAACAGACCTTGCAACATTTTTATGTGGAAGAATACTGGCACAAGTTGTCTCATTAAAATAAGCGAAACAAGCCATTGATGTCAAAGCTAATGCATACGCAAAGTACAGATGATTTTTTTCCCCTTTCCCTTATTGGCTGCTATATCCACAAATTCAGCCTGACTCTGTGATGCACGGCTTTCACCGATTTGGCTCAGCTTTACAAACAAAAGGAGCAGAGGAAGAGCTAAAAATGAACATGTATTTACAGATTGAATAAAGCATACTGAGGCTTTTGGCCTGTGAAGCACTTTATTATTGACACGTCACTGTTTCCTGGTGTTAGGTTTTAGTAGCACAGACTAACATTGATGATGCTGAATGCGGCTGGCAGCTTTAACGTTGCCTGTGCAGTTAGCTCATGGAGAAACAGTAACCAAGTATCAGCATCCACCGAATTTCATTCATTAACATTCAGGGAGTATTAAGTTGCCCACAGGAACATGTGTTGAACTATAAAATAACAACATGTCCTGTGGAGAGAATCTGGGTAATATTGGGTGATATTAAAATGTAATTTACAGGAGTCCTAAGAGTTCTATAACCATCATCTGGTAAATTAGTCACTTTTTTTTAAAGCTTCTTTGAGGTTTGCTGACTTGATCTGAAGAAGGGATACCTATGTACTTGTACTTAATAATACTGTCTTATTGTGTGAAACATAAACACACAAGAGGAAATCTGAAGTAACATTTGTTTGTTTTTGTTTAACTCGTCACATTTAAGAATGATCATATACTTCTTATACTTCCTGTTCACTATCTAGTTCCACTCTAATCTAATCCTTGGCAGAGTCGGCATTATTTACATCAGTGTCCAGATGGTTTGCTTCAGCTGTCATTAATAACAGTAACACAGTTCTTGGGTCCCAGGTGACACTGGTAATTTCCAAGGCCGTTAAATATGCAAGACAGCGTCCCTTGGCTCTGATTTCTGTTTTCCACATCGTCTCACCTTCATTATACAGTTGTCCACACATTACTTACATTGCTATGCCGCTAACTAGCACTAAATAACTCTATGACCCAGACCACATTAAGCTTGTACCCTAGCAGACACCTAGAACTTGAATAACGTTTACAAACCTTTTTCAACACAATGTTTCTTCCAGAGAAGTTGCTCCGTGTCCTCATGTGTAGACACTGGTTACACAGTGTAGGGAGCGGCAGGAGTGTTCAGAATAGCATTACAAGGGTCATCACACACCAAAACAATGGGTTGCTTTGTCTTCCTCAGGTTTCAAAAACCAGACAACTGCAACCTGAGTTCTCTAGTGTGATATGTTTTAAAACAACAGTCATATACAGTGTTTAGCTCGTTAGTACTAGTGTTAGTTAAAACTGTTAAAAATGTGTGTAGTGTATTATTTTATCATGTAAGTGAATTTCATTTTCAGTCTATGAGAAGCATAAGGAAGATGATGCTTTCAGGTAAACTAATAAAAGTCACCTTTAATCAAACAATATTAGTGGCCTAAATATGGGGAATCAAGTTAATCATTGAAACCCATGTAATAATATTGTAATATTGTATGTAACATATTCTCTGTCCAGAAAATCAAATAGTGAATACGCCTGCTCTAAGGCACCTTGTATCTTCCAGTCCACATCTGCTCATCAGAGCATATTGCATACTAACTCAGTTTCAGCCTTAAAAATACATGATTTCACTAAGCTGACCTTAACTCTGCACCTGGAGCCCTATTCAACAGTAAAATACAAATAAATATATATGAGAGTCAGACATACACAGTGTTTTTAAAGTTTCAACATAAAGAGATTAGGATAAAAATAAAGACCAGAATTTAAGTATTTAGGTGAAGTCTGTCACAGTCACATCCTTGTGCTTTCATGTTTTTTAAAATCATTATTAGGCCATGTTATATCTTGGCACTAAATAGGTCTAGATGGAGTCTGGGATGCACGGCGTCCTTGCTATCACGATATTGTTTTCCCAGTGCTAACAATTTATTCATGTGGTCAGTAGAAGTAGTCGCTACTAGACAATATTCAGTCTTACGCTCACAGAAAAAATGCAAAAATTACAAAAAAATTAAAATATTAAGTGTCCTTGTGTCTATGTGCTCAACATCAGAGTGTGCATCTGAATATGTTTTATTCTATGTCATTGGACTGCTGTTATTTCGTTGCACACTTCAGAGTTTTATTCATTTCCAAGGTTGCCCATGAACCAAACCCATGTGTCTTTCAGGTGTTCTGTCCTTTGGAGGCTGTGAATTTTTACAATGTGTTGAACACATTACCGACGTGTCTGTGTAGTCAAATTCATGTTTGTATCGTTGAATATCTGAGTGCAATAAAAAATTATGAAACTAGTAAAATATCAGTGGGAAATTTGTGTTTACTTGTCAAAACGCTGAACATCTTTTCTCAGTAAAATTCATACTAATAATAATTTCAATAGGGGTCATGCATTCAAAGTCTTACTGAAGATATAAGTAGAGTAGAAGTATTAGTAGTTATTAGCAAAACTATGAACGATAAAGTAATATGTCATCCTTGTAATGTTGCAGTTGTCAGAGATGGAACTAATTACCTCCCCCAAGGAGGTTATGTCTACACCCCTGTCCACTTCTTTGTTGGTTTGTTAGCAAGATTACGCAGAAACAACTGAGTGGATTTCCACTTAACTTGGTGACAGGATGTTAAATGTGTCAGGGAAGAACCCTTTCAATGTTGGTGCAGATCTGGATCAACATTTTCACAATTTTCCCAGAGAGTAATTTGTGGATCTCGATGAAAAGAAAAAAAAACTTGGGGTGAAATTTGGTGCTTCTTGGTTCAATTTTAGGGGACTGGTGGGGCTTGGCATATGGGAGTCATTCTAGTTTTATTTACTTCACTTACCTTTGGTCAGCTTGGTTTTGGAAGTGAATCGTATGTTTAAAACTTTAACCATTGATCCAAAAAAGTGTTTTTCTTTTCTTCAACAAGGTGAGCCGCTGTGTAATAGTGTTTATATTGAAAGCTAATTTCCAATGAACCGCGCTGAACAGCTGGACTGCAAATCAGCTTCTTTTTGGATCACAAATAAACAGGATTAAAAAACACCATTTAAATGGGACAGTGCAGCAAAACGCTTTGGGGATGCTGTTAAGTCACACTGATGTTTAATTCAATTCACGCAGCTTATGCAGCCTTTTAACCAGAAGGCGAATTAAGGGAGGATGAACTCTTTAAACATAACCCAGTTTAGTTTGTATTTTGACAAAATGTGTAACCCCCCCCTCCTGTTCAGTTACAGTAAACCTTGTTCTGCATCTGTTCACTGTGAGTCTGCAGTAGCTTGTTTACTTTAGAAAAACCGATTCACATATCAAGCTCCAATTAATTAAACCAAGTGTCAAAACCAACCGAGACATGGGGCATTTTGTCCAGTGCCATCTTTTCTTTAAATATGCATAATATATATATATATATATACAAGCATTATCGTCTTTTTGACTCTAAATGGACCTAATATACAAAATGAAAACGATGCTGTATGTATGTAAAATATTTACTTATGATATAAATCCTGTGAGAAGTTGATTTTCCAATAGACTTCTATAGAAACTGTTGCCCTCTGCTGGTTATTTGAGAGAGTACAGATTTCAGATACTTCTGCCTTGGCTTCACTTTGCAGACCTGGCGTGATTGTCCATGTTAATTTAACCTGCCTCAAAACACTTTCCTACATACTTGTCAATTTTCCTAATTATATGTTACAGAAATCTCTGATCTCAATGTGTTCTTTGTGAGGATGACATTTTAGTTCATCCCTCTAGAATTCAGCATTCATGCCTTTGTTTGGCCTGTCTTCCGTCTCCCAGCATGCTCACCTTTCTGGTACTGCAGCCAGAGCTGCTGCTGGGCCTTCTTGCTGGGGAAGTAGATGCTGCAGCTGAGCTCGGAGCCGTACAGGGCCTCGGACACGTAGTGGCTGCCGTACTCCTGGAGAAACGCCAGCAGCTCCTCACGTGTGCTGTCTGCTGACAGGGTCTTCAGCACTTTGGAAAAACCTGCCAGGTTATGAAGGAGAAGGAGGATTAGGGATTTTTGTCATAAGAAGGATAAAGAGGATGGGTTGGATATCAAGGTCAGGGTTGATGGTGAGGATATAAGTTGACAGGTTGCTTAAAAAAAAAGATAATAGTTGTTTCGATTGAATACTGTAATAATACAACAATATATAGAATATACAGTATATTAAAACTATATAGGCTGGACAGTAAATACGACATCTTTATTTGTCAATAGTCAGAGTTCTTAACGTGCCTGTATGGAATGGTCTGTTTGCTTGGCCTGTGTTAATGCTCAGGAGCTACTCCAGACTGCTACATCTCGAAGTTAGAAAACATTGTGTTCATCCTACCTGGTTTACCTGCAATGAAGATTTTCCATAAAAGTAAACGGAATTTGCTTTATTACTATTCACATGTGTGGCATATATATATGTTTGAGTGGTTTACTGAGCTTGTTCATCTCAATCATCACTACCAAGTTCACAACTTTTCAAAGTAAAAGCTCTGTAATTCAACCTTATATAAAGCATTACAGCAGCTAAACGAACACTGTGCTTTTACTTTGAAGACAAACCCGAAGTGATGATCTATGAATGTTCTCACGGCTGAATGTCTGTGTCAGTTTATGGTGAAATTTCACAGAAGAACTCGGACTGAAGGCACACTGCCTCACCCCCACAGCTATGGAGCACTGATCACCTGTTTATTCAATTTTATTAAAATTGAACTTATGGGGCAATTTAGGATCCACATACCAAGCGTGAAGCCGATCAGATGAATGGGTCACGAGATATGCGTTCCACATGGAGACAGAAAGACAGACTGTGGAATTAGTAGGTAGGTTTATCAATGTGGTATCAGTTGGATCATTCAGGCACTGACCTGTCGACAAGGTGATGGAGCTTAGTTTGACTTTGTACAGATTGCTGCGTACTCTCCACTGTTGAACCATAGGGTAGCCCACCGCCTCACTGAATTGGGCATCCCCTAAGTAGAGCAGAAGAAAAAGAGAGTAAGGAGACAATTTTAGGCAGAGTGAGATATAAGGATGTCAACAAAATCCAACAATTCAAAAGAAATGAGAAAAGTCAGACTCGTATAGAGCAGCGGAGATTCAGAATAAATGAAAAGATAAATAAAATCCATCATTTCATTGGAACGGTTTAGTGCAGACCCATTGTTACCCATTATTGCCTTAACATTGTTTATTATCGCGGGCCCATATCCCGGCTGCTCCTGGATCAATGGCAGATATATAGTGCAGCTTGAACTCCAATTGGATTGCTGACATTAGAAGTGAGTGCAATCTTGCCTCTCTTTGCAATTCAATTACCCAACTTCCAACAGCAGTTTAGGAGTTAAGCCACGAAAAGTGAAGAAGCAAAGAAAATAAAAATAAACAGCTTACAGGAACCTCGTTTGTGTGCCTCTGGAAAGTGTTTTATACCTGGGACGTTCATGCAGAGTGAAAGAAAGGGCAATTTATCTCTTTGTGGGTGTGTGTGTGTGTGTGCATCTAATTCTTGTGAAAGCAGAACCAAAGTAAAAAAAAAAAAAAAAGAAGCTAAATAAATAAAAATCTCAGGGGTCAGTGTGGACCAAATGCCAATTTAGCTAATGGAGGGATTAGGGGGCAGAGGTGGAGGTGCAGGTTTCCAGCTAAATATTTAAGTGAGTCTCTCCCCCCACAGGATGGGGTGGAACAGTGGAGAAAAGGATAAAAAGGATAAAAGGATGAAATAGGAGGTTAAGTGTTAAGAGTTTACAATATCTCATATTTATGTGTGTGGAAAAGAATAAGAAGAGATTAGCCTATATCCTTTTAAAAGACTTTGCACAAAACGGGCAATATATCAGCAACAGGAACACGCTGACACTTTACATTCTCCAGTTTCTACATAAAATCTGTTGTGTTTCTCTCAGGTGAATATTGATGCTCACAGATAAAAAATTAAAAGGGCTTTAGACTCTAGAACTTCACAACTAAAACGTTGCAGGGGCTTTTCACACAGGCTACTTAATGTGATGAAAATAAGCACAGGGGCTTGGTTTTCCCACTGGCTTTTAGTCAGCTCAGAATATCTAAGGACATAAACCATGATCCAAAGAAGATCATAGAGCTGCCACTGAAATATGCAATGAATCAAATAGCGCTCCATGAGAGAGATAAAGAAGAAAGAAAAGCACATTTCCATAAACTTGCTGTACACACACTGTACTGGGGAAGCTGAGATACTGAGCAAGATGCTGAGCTCTAATTTGCCGACTATGCGACTCATACTGTAAAGTGATCGATAAGACTGGAGAAGTGCTAAATAAAGACAGTCCGTTTAGTCCATTACACTGACCTGTGAGGAGCTTCAGGTTGGCCAGGGGCTCCGACAAGACCCCTCGACATTGTTCCTCTACAGGTAAAGGGATGACCATGAGACCATCGGCGAGCTGGGGAAAGTCCTTAATGAAATTGTTGTCCCTGAGAAACAAAGAAAGAAAAGTAGAGATTTAACCATCCATCATCTACACCGCTTATCCCTTGAGGGTCACGGGGGGGAGCTGGAGGGGGACACCCTGGACAGGTCAGCCAGTGCATCGCAGGGCAACCACGTGAGGAGACACTTACTAACCCCCGCACCACCATGCCACCCATAGTAATATTTCCAGCAAACTAAAACATAAAAAGCCAACACCTAGATCAGCTGTTAATATTTACAAGGTCCAGTAGCTCTTTATTAAAAAGAAGAAAGATAGCTGTCTTTTTTTTTGTTTCCTTTCTTTGTGGATTTTGTGTTTGATAGTCAGAGTTGCAAGCTCCACATTCTGAACTCAATAG